GAGGTTGCTGTGAGCTATGACACTATAGCACTCTACTGAGGGTGACAAAAGTGAGACTCGGTCTCAAAAAATAAATAAATATTTCAAGAACTTGAAATACAAAATATGCACAACATAACAAATACAGGCACAAATAATACTGCTAATTTTATTCCCATAAGCATTTCTACATGGAATCCTAAATCTTCCTGAAGTTGAAAGATGATTAACCTAGATGAAAGGTGATTAACCAATAGGAAGCTTTCCCACGTGCCCTGGGCTTGATGTGGCAGCCAACTCTTCAGGTAACTGAGGATGTTTTGCACCAAGATTTTTCCCGTGGCTGAATATTAGCCTAACCCCTTTTTATATGTATAAGATGGAGATCAAATGGTCTAAAACCTGGGGTTTGAGTCATAGCATCATTCAAATTTCAATCCCTAATCACTCCCCATGTGGCACCCCACTCATTTGCACTCAGTGTATATTTATTTATTGCTTCCTTATCATCTGAATTCTCTCAGACTCTGGAGCCTGATGGCCTTGGGTTGAGTCTTGGCTCTGCCAATTATTAGCTATGTGACCTTGGGAAAGTATTTAAACTCTCTGTGCCTCAGTTTTTTTGTTCATAAGACTGAGGTAATAAAAGCACCTACTCACTGGGTAGTCTGTGGTTAAATGACATGACATATGTAAAGGTCATGTGCCTGGCCAAAAGTCAGCATGGTTAAGGGTTTGTTATGATTGTCATTGTCATCATCATTGCCGTGTTTTAGGACACAACTTGCAGAGATATTCACAGGTCATCTAATTCGATTATATGCATGTAAGGCTATGTCTGACTTTAGGTCACAATTTCTTCTTCTTTTTCTTTTCTTTTTTTGTCTTTTTGAGACAGAGTCTCACTATGTCGCCCTTGGTAGAGTGCCAGAGCATCATTGCTCACAGCAACCTCAACCTCTTGGGCTTAAGCAATTCTCTTGCCTCCCAAGTAGCTGGGACTCCAGGCGCCCACCACAATGGCCAGCTATTTTTTTGTTGCAGTTGTCATTGGTGTTTAGCAGGCCCTGGCCAATTGGAACCCACCAGCCTCGGTGCATGTGTCCGGTGCTGTAACCACTGTGCTATGATGCTAAGCCTAATTTTTCTATTTTTAGTACAGTAGTGGGAGTGGGGGGGTCCTCGCTCTTTGCTCAGGCTGGTCTTGAAATGTGAGCTCAAGCTATCCACCTGCCTTTGCCTCCCAGAGTGCATGAGCCACCACGTCGGGTCTAGGTCACAATTTCTTTTCTTTTATTGAGACAGGAGCCTCAAGCTGTCCCTCTGGGTAGAGTACTGTGGCATCACAGCTCACAGCAACCTCTAACTCCTGGGCTCAAGCAAGACTCCTGCCTCACCCTCTCAAGTAGCTGGGACCACAGGCGCCCACCACAACGCCTGGCTATTTTTTGGTTGCAGCCGTCATTGTTGTTTGGCAGGCCCAGGCTGGATTCGAACCTGCCACCTTGGGTGTACGTGGCTGGCACCTTAGCCACTTGAGCCACAGGTGTCTAGCCATAGGTCACAATTTCTAAAGTCATTCTAATGACCCATTTCTTATCCCTGTCTCTTTAACGTGTGAAATGCTGGCTCTGTGCCTATAGCACAGTGGTTATGGCGCCAGCCACATACACTGAGGCTGGCGGGTTAGAACGCAGTCTGGGCCAACTGAACAACAATGACAACCGCAACAAAAAATAGCCGGGCGTTGTGACAGGCACCTGTAATCCCAGCTACTTGGGAAGCTGAGGCCAGAGAATCGCTTAAGCCCAAGACTTTGAGGTTGCTGTGAGCTGTGACACCATGGCATCCTACGGAGGGCGACATAGTGAGGCTCTTGTCTTAAAAAAACAAATAAAAAAAGAATGTCAAATGCTCCCTCTGCTGGACAACATCTCATACATGAACCAAACCCCCGAACCTGCAATGTAGAATTCCTGAGCTCAAGCAATCTATCATCCCGGACTCCCAGAGCGCTAGGATAACTGTCAGGAGCCACCGCTCTGGGCTAGAATGCATAATGTCAATATCCTCCACCCGAGCAAAGTGGGTTGATGGCCCTTTAAGAGGCGGGAGTTACCTCCCGGTGCCATGGAGACAACTGGATACAGACTGGGTACCAGTCTGCAGAATGTCCTCCCACATTTACTCCACAGGTGGTAAGAGGACTGCTGGGGCTGGAAGTTGGGGACTTCCTCCTAACAATCCACCCTAGGCATGGCTTGGGAGGATTCTGCTTCTGGGGAAAGGGGGCTGTGACCGGGATACGCCTGCCCCACGCGGGCCTCTCCCAGGGTCCGCCATCTTAACCCCTCCTCCCTCTGCAGTCCCCCGAGCCAAGGACCCCTCGCCCACAAGCCCCGAGCATAAGCCACTCCCAAAAGCCAATGCTGAAGCCATCGACTTCCTCAGCTCCCTCCGTGAGCCTAGGGCGGCGGGCAGGTGGTGGGGAGTTGGGACGCAGGGAGGGGGCGGCGGTGCAAATCTGGGAAGGAGAGAAGAGGGAGGTGCAGCTCTCTCAGCCTTGATTCTCCAAGACCTGACCCAGCTCTCTCAGCCTTGATTCTCCAAGACGGAGACTCGGAAAAGGCCTGAGGCCTTGGCTCGGCGCCTGTGGCTCAAGCGGCTAAGGTGCCAGCCACATACACCTAAGGTGGTAGGTTCGAATCCAGCCCCGGCCGCCAAACAACAATGACAGCTGCAACCAAAAAATAGCCGGGCGTTGGGGCAGGCACCTGTGGTCCCAGCTACTTGGGAGGCAGAGGCAGGAGACTCGCTTGAGCCCAGGAGTTGGAGGTTGCTGTGAGCTGTGATGCCACCGCACTCTACCCAGGGGACAGCTTGAGGCTCTGTCTCAAAAAAAAAAAAAGACCTGAGGCCTATTTGCTGACTCTCTTCAAGGGAGACCCAGGGACATGTGGGAGGGGTTCTTCACCTTCTGGTTCCCATAGGTGCTACTGGAGCAGAAGCAGGGATAGCTGGGAGGTGTGTGGGGTGAGGAGGGGCTAGTTGCAGACTACAGGGGACACTGGTTGTCCAGGAGTCAGAGGATTGATCTCCAAGAGCAGGGACTTTATGTGTCCCCATGGTCCTCTCCCCGCTCCCCAGGACAGGAAGAGCTGCAGCTGCTGTTCTTCTCGGAGAATCTGGCCATGGTCTCAGACACAGGGCAGCCTAAGGGAGAGCTGTCCATTAAGGTGGAGAAGGGGAAATACAAAGAGGATTTTGGAGTCTTGTCAAACTGCCTCTTCGTGCATGCCTATAGCCGTGGCTTCCTGGACAAAATGCTCTGTGGAAACTCCGTACTGGGTAGAGTTTCCATTGCCTGATGCCTGTTACCCCTCCCCTTCCTCCACTATACCTTCCACCACTCCCAGAATCTTTATTCAGACCAACCCCCTTAACTTTGACTTTGCCTTGGGACCAGGACCAGGCAAGGGTGGGGTGGGAGGCACAGGGAGGTTATTTGCAGCCACAGACTCAGGACAAGAGCAATAGTTCTGTGGCCACATCACACCTGGTCCTCCAGCCGGGGCCACCACCTTCCTTTCCTTCTGTCTACAACCTGTGGCTCCTGTGATGTCAATGTTGGCCTCCCCACATCCCAGGCTATCTCTCGTGGCAGTTGGAGACCATGGAACAACACAGTCATGAGTTCATCAAGGTACCTCCTAGGGCCACAGCTTTGATCCTGATCCAGGAAGAGAGAATAGAGATGCTGGGATGGAGGGAGAGGCACCAGAGGAGTGTTACCCCTTCTCTCTCCCGGCTTACCCTGTAACCCCCCTGCTCCCCCCGCCACAACTTGAAAACCAATCTATCCAGGATACCGGCAGTCAGCAGCAGTTTGGTGCTGAGGAGTTCTACATAAGCTCTGAACCTCGTTCACACCAGCCTGAGAGACCAGCATCTCTCTGGGGGCCCTGAGTGTTGGCTTTTCCAAGAGCCTGGCCTTTCCCAGGGGCATGTGGCCAGCTGGCCTCCAAGTCCTCTAGTATTGTGGCCCTTACTCCCAGCCCCGACTACCACATCACTAACTTTTGGAATGTGATTGTGACTTGTTTACACATTGGTAACTACTAGTGCCTAAGAACCTTCCCACAGAAACTATTCCCTTCTTCTTTTTTTTTTTTTTTTGAGACAGAGTTTCACTTTGTCACCCTTGGTAGAGTGCCATGATGTCACAGCTCACAACAACCTCAAACTCTTGGGCTTAAGCAATCCTCTTGCCTCAGCCTCCCAAGTAGCTGGGACTACAGGTGCCTGCCACAACACCGGCTATGTTTTGTTGTTGTTGTTGTTGTTGTTGCTGTTGTCATTGTTGTTTTAGCTGGTCAGGGTCGGGTTTGAACCCACCACCTTCAGTGTATGTGGCCAGTGACCTACCCACTGAGCCACAGGCACCTCCTATTCCCATCTTTTAAAATTAGGATTCTGAACTGCACTGTTTTTTAACTTTGTATAGCACCATAATATGCTGCTATTGTTGAGTTTTACTATAAACAAAAGGGCTCTTTGATTTGTTGTGTTGCTTTTTTTGGTTTGTTTGTTTTTTGGGTTTTTGAGACAGAGTCTCACTCTGTTGCCCTGAGTAAAGTGCCATGGGCATCATCATAGCTCACAGCAACCTCAGTCTCTTGCACTCAAGAGATCCTCTTGCCTCAGCTTCCCAAGTAGCTGGGACAACAAGCATCTGCCACCATGCCCAGCAAATTTTTCTGTTTTTAGTAGAGATGGGTCTCGCTCTTGCTCAAGCTAGTCTCCAAATCCTGAGCTCAGGGGATCCACCCACTTTGGCCTCTACCAAGTATTGGGATTACAAGCATGAGCCATTATACCTGGCCCAGCAACTCTTTGGGTTTTTTGCTTGTTTTGTTTTGTTTTGTTCTTGAGAGAGAGTCCTGAGTTGTCACCCTGGGTAGAGTGCTGTGGAGTCACAGCTCACAGCAACCTCAAACTCTTGGGTTTAAGTGATTCTCTTCCCTCAGCCTCCCAAGTAGCTGGGACTACAGGCGCCCCTCACAATGCACGGCCAGGTTCGAACCCGGAAGCCTGGGTGTATGTGGCCAGCGCCCTACACACTGAGTACGGGCGCCGCCATCTGCTGCTGTTTTTTAAATAAAAATCTTTAAACTTCAGTTTTTACTTTTATAAAGGAGAATTGCAGGTGACCTCTGGGGGATCCAGAGTCCGTGATTCTCCCCTGCATGCTCTGGCCTTTAGTTTCTCATCCTCCCCATGGAGCGGAAGATAACCCTACTGAAGCAGGATGATCAGCTGGCCATCACCAGAAGTGTCAGGGAAGGTGAGGTGAGAATGGAAGCCAGCTGGGAGCTGTACCCCACATCTCTCCAGAACTGTGAGCAGGGACCAGGCTTCAGTTCAGTCCTGGAGCCTGGACTGAAGACTCATTAAGAACTGTATGCCTGGGTGGCGCCTGTGGCTCAGTGAGTAGGGCACCGGCCCCATATACCGAGGGTGGTGGGTTCAAACTCGGCCCCTGCCAAACTGCAACAAAAAGTAGCCAGGAGTTGTGGTGGGCGCCTGTAGTCCCAGCTACTTGGGAGGCTGAGGCAAGAGAATCGCCCAAGCCCAGAAGTTAGAGGGTTGGAGGTTGCTGTGAGCAGTGTGATGCCACGGCCCTCTACCCAGGGCAATAATGTGAGACTCTGTCTCTAAAAAAAAAAAAAACTGTATGCCCAACACTGGCTTGCCCATCCTCCACTCCCTGCCCCTTCCTGGCCCCAGGTCCCTGACCCATATTTGTCCTGAACAGGATATGAAGACTGGAGTGACTTTTTTCCCCATGAGCTCAATTAAGGGTTTCATCTCTGAAGCTGCCAACATGGTGTTGCTGAGGGTGATGGCCTGGCGGCAGATGGTGCCCAGCAATGCCCACTTTCTGGCCTTGGACACTGATGGCAAATTTTGCCATTCCACCTATGTGAGGGGTCTTCTTGGGGAGGGGACTTTCCCTGGGGGCAATCTAGAAGGGGCAGGGGAGTACCAGGATGGGAGAGAAAACAGCTGTGGAGTGGAAGAGGGAGCTGGGGTCGCATAGAACAGGAGTGGGAGTGAGGCTTCCAAGGGCAAGAGAAACCAAGAACCACATTTGTTAGATTAAGTGTAGGGCAGGTAGAGTGAGTGAGGGGTGGGAATAGTTCAGGGAAGCAACCCTTTTGCACAAAAGTCAGTCCAAGAAAAATAAACATAGGATAAGGCTCTTTTTAAAGATACATTATGTTTTAACTTCACCAACTCTAACTGCATTTAAATATTCTTTTATGATTTCTCAACTCTGAAGGGTGTTCCTTTTTTTGTAGAATCAGGGTCTGATATGTTGTCCAGGCCAGTCTTGAACTGCTGGACGCAAGTGAATGTCTTGCCTTCACCTCCCAGCACTGGGATTACAGATGTGAGCCACCATACCTGGACTTTTTTTTTTTTTTTTTTGAGACAGTCTTACTATGTTGCCCTCGGTAGGGTGCCGTGAAGTTACAGCTCACAGCAACTTCAAACTCTTGGACTTAAGCAATTTTCTGGCCTCAGCCTCCCAAATAGCTGGGACTACAGGTGCCCGCCATAGTGCCTGGCTATGTTTTTTGTTGTAGTTGTCACTGCTATTTAAAAGGTCCGGGCCAAGCTTGAACCCACCAGCTCTGGTGTATGTGGCTTGTCCCCTAGCCGCTGAGCTACAGGCGCAGAGCCAAAATGTAAAATGTTTTTTGAGACGGAGTCTCACACTGTCACCCTGGGTAGACTGCCATGGCATCATAGCTCACAGCAGCCTCCAACTCAGGCTCAACCAATCCTCTTGCCTTGGTTTTTCTATTTTAGTAGAGACAGGGTCTTGCTTTTGCTCAGGCTGGTCTTGAACTCATTAACTCAAACAATCCACCCACCTCGGCCTCCCAGAGTGCTAGGATTACAGTCGTGAGCCACTGTGCCCAGCCATACCTGGACTTTTATTCTTTAATTTTGGCTAAAATTTCATAATCCAAATACCTAGGCCTTCTTATAATATGTGATTTTAAAGCTATACCTTTACAGCTGAGTGTGGTGGTACACACTTGTAGTCCTAGGTACTCTGGAGGCTGAGATGGGAGAATTGCCTGAGTTCCAGGGTCCAGTGAGTTATCATCCTGCCACTGCACTCCAGCCTGGGCAACAGAGCAAGATCCCATCACTAATAAAAAACAAAACAAAAAACTGTGCCTTTGAACACAACAAATTTCAAGTAAGATATTTTGAGGGCTGATGTGTCTTTCCTGGACCAACTTTGTAAATTAAATTCTTGGCTTGTCTATCACACACAGTGAGTAGCAATGTGTTTAACACAGACAAGCACACTCATGTCCCCCCACTTTCTTGGAAATACCTGTTTGACATTAGCACTTTTTTCCCCATGACCCCAGCCCTAATGCTTAAGGTTTTTGATTTGGAGGGGGTTTTTTTTGTGACGGTCTCACTTTGTCACCCTTCGTAGGGTGCCATGGGGTCGTAAGACACAGCAATCTCAAACTCCTGGGCTCAAGCAATCTTCTTGCCTCAGACTCCTGACTAGTTGGAACTACAGGCACGCGCCACAACGCCTGGCGTTTTTAGAAAGGTCTTGCTCTTTGTTCAGGCTGTTCTCGATCCCGTGAGCTCAGGCAATCCATCCTCCTCGGCCTCCCAGAGTTCTAGGAGTATAGGCGTGAGACACTGCGCCTAGCCAGGGCTTAAATTTTAATTATAACAGGAACAGCTTGCCAGCAGTAGCACGGGCCTGAGGTGGCCACAGATCTTAGCCCAGTCTCACTCCTGGAGCCTCACTTTACCATCCCCTCACTGGCCCCAGTAGCACACTCCCTACACCCCACACACCCATACTGCTCCTCAGCCCTATAACAGAATCTGCCAACTAGAAGCCCTTGGTCAGCCAGGTAGCAGGGGAGGGGCTAGGGCAGGACCTGGCTCTCTAAGAGGGGACCCCCAATTTAGCTTGGGGGAGCAACTCAAGTTTGTGGCAGTTGAAGGTCTGGACAGCCAAGGACTGTTTATCAGGTGAACAAGGAAGTAAGATGTGAGACAGAGGAAAAGTCAGAGTGAGACAGTGGGATAGACCTTGATGGGCATCCACCTTACACCCTCACCCTATTTTGGCCATTACGTTACCAGCAAGCCTTGGGCTTCCAGACGATGCAGGTGGGCCATCAGCAGACCAACGTGTTCATCGTGGAGCAGACTGTACACTCAGAGGACAGCATCCCCATGTCCTGCCAGTACTACCTGCTCCGTGATGGGTGAGCATAGGTGGGGTGGGGGATGACGCAAACGGGAGACCAGCTGTTTCTGGGACAACGCCAGGAACAGTCACCATTGAGATCTAGCTGAGCATTCCCTATTTTAGCCACATCATTCATCCTTTCTTGCTTGTTCTCGTAATCCTCACAGCACCTTGTTATGAACCTGAAGGGCTGAGGAATTAAATGTCGTTCCACATGCCAAGGTTTAATTATGTATAGAAGCTCCCATGGCGTTAGGGGTAATCATGAAAAAAAAAACCCAAGATTTAAATGAGTGGACACTTGATCAAATCCACGTGCTAGAAGAAGTGCCCCTGGCATGCTGCCAAGCTGCCACCAGCAAAGCTTGGGTTCCAAATCTTGAGAAAATTTGGATGAGGAAGAATTTATTTCCTGAATTTTCAGAGTAGGTATTTGCATAGTCACTACACTGAGAAAAAAAGTAATCGGACTGTTGTCCTTCCTTATTTCATAACTGAGTATGTTTCTATTTTGAGTCACATAGCAGGAAGTTCCATGATCATTTTATTTATTATTTATTTGTTTATTTTTTGAGACAGAGTCTCAAGCTGTCCACCTGGGTAGAGTGCTGTGGCATCACAGCTCACAGCAACTTCCAACTCTTCGGCTTTAGCAATTCTCTTGCCTCAGCCTCCTAAGTAGCTGGGACTACAGGCACCCACCACAACGCCCAGCTGTTTTTGTTGTTGTTGTTGAAGTTGTCATGGTTGCTTTAGCTGGCCCAGCCAGGTTCGAACCCACCAGCCTGTGTATGTGGCTGGCCCCCTACACACTGAGCTACAGGCACTGCCATGATTATTTTAGTGCTTACACCTCTTAAGGTTTCAGTCCCTTTTTAGCAGCCTTCCTGGTATGTCTTAAAGTGGCCTTTCTTCTGTGGATGAGTGAATGGAGAGAGCTCTCTATCATCTTTCTCTTATAGGGACACCAAACCTATCTGATTAGGGCCCCACATTTGGGATGGCATTTAACCTTAATTACTTCCCCTAAAGTCCTTATCTCCAAATACCATCATATTGGAGGTTAGAGGTACAACCCCAGCTGGGGGCAGGGCACAGTTCAGCCCATAAGACTTGTGCTCACACCTTTCTTCCGTGTTGCACTCCAGGCACCTGGCCAAGAGAGTCCAGGTGGGCTCCCCAGGGTGCTGCATCATCACCAAGATGCCCATAGTAAGGGAGGAAGGTGAGTGAAGCCGATTAGGCGAGTGGGAGAGTGGAGGAGAGGTGGGAGAGTCTGGGGCCTTCCAGGATGTAGGGCCGGGACTGATGTGCTATGAATGGGACAGAAGCCTGGAATCACATGGAGAAATTTTGCCCTCAACCCCTTCCTGCAACTCTGCTAGTGCGGTCAGAATCCTGGATTTTTTTTTTTTTTTTTTACCTGAGCCTTCTGCTTGGATGTTGTTGGGATTCCTCTGTGTATCCAAGGAAGGTTCTGGCGAGGGAAGATGCAGCTTTCCTCCCTCCCTACCCAGATGAGCCCGAGCCTCGACCAGTGTTTGAGAAGAAGCCCCTGGCGTGGGAGGAGGATTTGCAGCTCTACTCCAGGTTCCTGGACAGGAAGGTGAGGAGGGGCTGCGACCAGCAGTGGGGCGGAGAGGGTATAAATTCCACCAATTCTGATCTCTCTTCCAGCCTGATTGCAATGCACACCTCTAGGAAGTGAAAGAAAGGCTGCAGTGCCCCTTAGCCTTCTTTGGAGTGAGAGGGGGAGCCTCCTGGGGCTGTCCCCACCCACGTAGTCTCAGACTCGGGGCTGCCCCGTCCCTCTGCAGGAAGAGCTCCGACTCAGCCACACCAGCTATCTGCGGCACCACCCCGAGGCCCAAGCGCTTGTCTCGGACTTCCTGCTCTTCCTGCTGCTGCGCCAGCCAGAAGACGTGGTCACTTTCGCAGCCGAGTACTTCGGCCCCTTCGCCGCGCGCCGCCCGGCGACCCCCGCCTTGCGCTCTTCCTACCGGCCCAGCCCTTTCCGCTCGCTGGACCCGGACCTCGACGACGACTCAGAGTCAAACTAGGCGGTCCCTGCTGCCCAGGACTGGGCAGGAAGGGTGGGGATCGTCAGGGCTGGGACACAGGCGGGACGCGCAGGAGGCGGGCGTGCTTTCCCAGCCGCGGTTTTTGTGGGAATAAACGGGACCTTCCCGCGGCTCTGCAGTGTCAGCCAGGACCCTCCCTGGCCAGCGTCTTGTGTCTTGGGCTAAAAGTAGGAACCATTAGCATCGTACATCTAGCGAATTTCAGCCTTTCTTCCTAGATGCTGGAATTGGCTTGTGGGGAACTAGAACTTGAAGCTGGACCTTAGACTTGGAAAACCGCTCTCGTACCCACTAGGTTAGCTGGAACCGGGGGCGTGGCTCCGTGTCTCTCAGAACCATTGCAGTTGCCACTAAGTATGACTGTCCTGGCCACCCACCTGGATGGCGCATGGGGGAAGGAGGAGGGCCAACAAGAAACATCGCTGGCCTTGCTTGCCACCTCTCAAGTTTCCCAAAACGGAGCCAGCGCTCTTCCTCATTCTCACCGACGCACTGGAACCCCCAAACTGAGTTTCCAATTACACTCTTCCAGAGTAAAAAAAATGAGCAGGTGTTCGTCACCTCCTCTAGGCTCCTTTCTTAAAGTCAGTCTGGCCAGTGGCTTGTTTCCGCGGGATGGTGGCTATGAGGAAGGTCTCCTGAGGCAGGTAGTAATGGGATACAGACCTCAACCATCTATTCATTCATCCTTCCTGCGCTGCTGAGAGAGACTCCAGAGAAGCTGTGAACGTGAGCTGATACCTTCAAGGTTGGGAGGGTGTGCAGTATAGGGTTAGATAGGGACCAAGGAATTGCAGGAAAAAAAGGCTTAATGGAAGACTATCACTTGAGTTAAGCCTCGGAAAAAATTAAAAAGGAATTTTTGTTGTTCTTCCTTATTTCAAGAGAAAACTTCAAAAAAGAAAATGCAATCACCTCAATCTCTGTACCTACAAGCAGCCACCCTTAACGTTTTAGCAAATATCCTCTCTACATTTTTCTTTTCCTTTTTTTTTTAAGGACAGAGTCTCATTCTGTTGCCCCAGCAGAAAGCTATGGCATCATAGCTCACGGCAACCTCAAATTCTTGGGGTCAAGTGATTCTCTTGTTTCAGCCTCCCAAGTAGCTGAGACTACAGGAGCCCACCACAACTGCCTGGCTATTTTTTTTTTTT